TACTGAGACCCTGTACCATGTACCAAATACATAATTAATTAATTAACTAATTAATTAATTAAAAGTACCAGGTACATGGTGGTGCTTGCCTGTAATCCCAGCGCTCGAGAGGCTGAGGCAGGAAGGTTGTTGCAAGTCTGAGGCCAGCCTGGGCTATAGAGTGAGTTGAAGACCAGCCTGAACTGCTGAATTGCAGAATGAGACTCTGTCTCAAAAACATAAAAATAAATATTTTTTTTTAAAAAAAAAAAAAGCAGAAAGGGCTAGGGATGTAGTTGAGAATGAAGCCTTGGCTTCAAGCCCCAGTATAGGGAGGGAAGCCCATGCCAGTGAACAGTAGCCTCGTGTGCACCAGCTAGTGCCGTCTCTCTGGACCTGTGCCGTGCCGCTGACCTGAGCTCTGTTCCCTCTCTGTTTTTCTCAGCCGAGCCCCTGCCACTCATGGATCTCTGCCGGCGGTCCGTGCGCCTGGCCCTGGGCAAGGAGCGCCTGGGCGCCATCCCCGCACTGCCCCTGCCCGCCGCACTCAAGGCTTACCTCCTGTACCAGTGATGCGGCCTGGGCGCCACGTGGCCACCAGTGGTGCCCACTCACTGAGCCCTGGGCCACCGCACCTGTGCCCAGGCCCGCAGGCCCTGGCGAGTGCCGCTCACCCTCTCTGCTGTGGCTGCCTTTGCTGGGCTGGACTGCTGGACTGGACCTGACCGGACCGATGCCACCTGGGCTCCATTCCTCCCTTCCCGGGCTGCCCATCCCAGCCCTTCCCTGGAACCAGACGCAGAGAATAAACTCCTACGAAAGTCTCATGCAGCGCCTGTCTGCTCTGGGGGGTGGGGACGGGTGGGGCTCCTCTTCGCGGCCCCGGGGACATCCACAGTCCTAAGGGGTCCCAGGGTGCTGGGGCTGTGGGAGGGGCCAGGGCTGGAGGGCATGTCCCAGGCAGGTGAAGGGCTAGGGCTGGGCTGTGCCAGTGAAGCTCAGGACATCAGGGCCGATCTCCACGTGGCTCCTCCTGAAGGCAAATGGGCACCCAGTACCCAGCCTGGTGCCAGAGCCCCATATCTTGTATTTATTCTTTTAACAATAACAAAGGCCTTTTATTTATTCCACTTAGAAAGGAAACCCTATATTTCAGCCACCTCTTTGTGAGGCCCTCTGACGCTTTCCTCCCACCTGCTGCCTCCCTGGGGCGAGCGTGCCTCACTGCGTGCCTCTCCTGTTCTCTCTGGCCCAGCACAGGCCCTTGTGCAGGTCCCTACTGGTGTCTGGTGCTCCGTCCTGAGGTTCCCAGCAGGCCCCCAGGAAGCATAGCCTCATATGCAGGACGAGTCTTAGGGCGCCAGCGTCCTCACGGCCACTTACCTCCTGAGCCACACATCGCTGCACATGTCCGGCTTCTTTTCTCGTCTAGGAATTTGTGGGAGAGGGGTGGTTTCACCTGACATCTGCTTTTCTAGCTGGGATTTTTTTCCCCCGCAGGCATCCTCAGAAGCTCCGTGGTCCAAGGGACCACAAGAAGCCAGGGGTGGGGAGGGACAGGGACACCAAGAGAGGAGTCCATCCCTGGGGAAGCCCTGGTCTCTCTCAGCACCTCACCAGGACTCGGGGCCCACAGGGAGCCGCTTCTGGTCATCCTCACACCCCGGTCCCAGAAGGGCTTGCAGGCGGCCTGCTCAGAGACTCAGGTCTCCTCCAGGACCCCGTCGTGTGTGCCCACACCTACCAGCACCTTGCCATTTCTTTTGTCTTGAAACCAGCTGCTTTAGAGTTTTTCTGTTCATATCTGCACAGGTACAATAGATGACTTTATTTGTTTAAAGTGTTTAATATATATGTACATATATATATATATATATATATATGTGCATAAGAATTATGTTGTAAGCAGCTGCTATAGGGTACCTTTAAAAAAAAAAAAAGTCCAGTGGAATATATATTTTTAAAGCACAAAATCAGTGCCAAGACTAGTTAGGAATGTAAATTACCCCCTTCATATTCTGAGGGCTATTTTTTCCCTTTTGGGGCAGGGGTCTTACCTGTCAGTCTCTTGAAGGTTTCCCTCGCTCCTGTTGTGAAGCATGTTGCACTTGAGAGGGATTCACTTGTACGGGGTGCAAGTGTTGCTGACTGCCGCCCCAGGGTGCTGGTGAACCACCCACTCTCTCCACATCTCCCACCCCCCAGTCCCCGGATCCTTCCCCACTGCCCAGAGCCTTGTACAGTTTTGAAATTCCTGTTTTATTTTATGATGGCTCCTACTAGTGAGTAATCTAATAAAGAAATGTTTGCTAAGATACGAGACCACTGTGGTGTCCTTTGTGCTTTGGGGAAGGGAAACGTGGGATGGCTGAGTGCCCCGGGGTCCAGGCCCCAACACTGCCCACAATTTTCCCTGCCGCCCTTGACAGGGGGCAGGGTGCCAGTCAGAGCTTTGAGCAGTGGAAGAAAGTCCCCAAGGGAGGATCTCAGCACATGCCTTTTGGAAGGCTGGAACCGTCCACCCAGTGTGGACAGCTGCAGACTGGGTGGAAAGCAATTCTTTGCATGGATGCGTGCCGCTGGGGAGGGCACCTGGGCTGGAAGCCTGTGCGGCTGTGGGCTTTTTGGGAGGAGAGCAGAGGCTGGTGTGGCATCATCAAGAGTCCGGGCTTGCACTTGGAAGGAGCAGATCTTTGTTTCGTGTTCCCATATCCAGCGTAGGGACACAAAATGCTAGTGACACCTACGAAGTCTTTGCCTGATACCCCTGCTCCGCTGACCACTGCAGCACAGCCCTGCAGAAGAGAGGAGATTCTGGCTTAGACAACAGGTGACTGATACTGTCAAGAGTCGTGTCTCGGTTACTCTTCTCTCGTTGCTGGGACAAAATACCTGATGCCCAAAGTGAAGGAAGGAAAGGTTCATTTAGCTCACAGTTAGTGGAGGTTTCAGGCCACACTCTGCTGGCTCCGAGGCAGAGCGGCAAATTGGAGGGACAGCAGCAACAATGGCAACAGAGAGCAAGTCTGTCTCTCTTACGTTGCATTCAGGCTGTCTGCCCCAGGTTGGGTGTAGCACTCACACCCATAATCCTAGGAGCTCTCACACCCATAATCCTAGCAGCACTCCCACCCATAATCCCAGCACTGGATCATGAATTAATCACAAACTCTGGAAGTCTGCCCTGTAACTACATGAGGCTTGGGGGGACCCCTAGATGAAACCATAACAGTTGAGACATATACTCAACGTATCTCCAAAGAATCAGCAAAACCCTGTGCAGCTTGGGGGGGGGGTACCTGGCCCGAGGTCCTAGGACCCCTGGAACCAGGGTGCCATCTCTCCTTGAGAGCCTCTTGACTAGCTTTTCTCAGAATGCTTTAGGACCTGCCCTTGGAAGGTGCTTGCCAAGACGCTGATTTCCACCTGAGATGGGAGGGAATAACATCTCTGGGGCCAGGCCCGGGAACCTTTATTCTCCCCAGACACCCCAGGTGAGCTTGCCTAAGTGAGACTCCACAGTTCGTGACTGCGTCAGCTCTTTGTCTTGCAGAGTTTCTGGGTAAAGGGAAATTTGCTCGGTGTGTCGGTGGCTGAGCCCGAAGATGAACAGTAATGCCTGAGTCAGACCGGGTTCCAATTTTGGCTCTGGGGCCTTGCACGGGGCCCTGTGAAATGGTACTCATCGCTGAGCCTATCTCATGGCCGGGTGACGGGAGGACGGGAGGCTCCTAGAACAGGGCCCAACATCGAGGCAAATTGTGCCGGCAAGCACTTTCAGAACATGCCCTTCTGGAACAAGGGCACTTCCTGCAGGGGGACCTGGAGGATGCGCCAGGTGTTCCTGAACCAACTTCCTGCTGAAGGTAAGTTCTCCAAACACCAAGGTGGCTATTGGGAAAAGGTGTCCCCAAATGCCTGCCCCAGATGGGAGCAGAGGAAGAGGGTGGTCTAGAATTATTTTTATGTTGCAGTTCATGTCTGGGTTGCTGTTGGAGCTGGGGCTTCCTTTGAAGGGGTGGCCGAGGAGGAGTGGGGTCAGGCATTAGGGGCGGGGGCAGCGCAAGGAAAATGAGGGCCTTTGTGCTGCTGGGGAGCCTTCTGGGAGAGCAGGGCTCTGCGCTGAAGGGAACGGTATTAATAAAACCATCTGTGCAGACTTGGCCCATGTGGTTGTAATTAATCCCCCCTGCCTTCGAGCAGGTAGCCGGCGCTCAGGGCTTGGCCATAGATGGGAAGACTCCATCTCCATTCTCCCGCTCCTCAGCAGGAGGAATGTGCACTTTACTGAACCATAAACTATGCCGGGGAGCTGGGGAGGGGGTCGAAGACAGAGCAATTAGTTCATGCTCCAATCCAGACACCCAAACATGGTTGGATTCCAGCTGTAAGGAATATTTGAAATAAATGAGCTGCCCAGGGCCAGGAGTTTGCTGTTTTCTGTACGGGACCATGGCAACCGCGGAGGAAATCATGAGCTGGGATCGGGCTCAAGAATCAACAAATGATGTCCTGGCCGAGCGAGCCCCGAGGAAGCCGCACACAGCTCTCCTAGGGTTTCTAGGACTCGGCTGCGGGCTGGCAGATGCAGCCTGCCCACCCTTCTGGTGTGCTTGAGCCGTGGTGTCCTATTCTGGGCCTTATGGTCTTTTTGGTTAAAAAAAAAAAAAAAAAAAAAAGAGAGAGAGAGAAAAGTAACTCCTCTGGAACCCCTCTTCCCAGGCCCAAGAAGAGCACTACTGTCACTGTCCATCCAATAGTGACTTTCTGAACCAGAGCAGATGTTCTCAATGGGCGAGCCCATGCAGAGGCCAGCCAGCAGAAGGGAAGGTGGCCCTGGCTTCTGAACTGGCCCTAGGTCTGTCTTCCCGCCAGGCCCCAGCTGCAGCTCATCTGGTTCTACCTCGAGGCAAAAGGCCCTCCTCCAGCCCCTGTCCCTGATGGCATCTGATGCTGGACCTGCCGCTGTCCCTAGAGATGTGGTTTATTGGTCCCAGGAAGCTTGAGACACAAACAACCAGGTCTGGAAATCTGCATTGTCCCCACGCTGGTGACTCTGACGCCATTGACCTGGGGCTCCCTTGCATCCCAGAAGTGTGCAGAGTCACAAAGTCCCCTCTGCTATTCCTCCACGGTCCTTCAGGGATCAGAACCACCCAGCAGCCCATGTGGCAGGAGATTCCATGGCGCGTTAGCTGGCTCACCCAACTCCATCTGTGCTGGGTGTCATTGTAGCGATCTTGCCCATGTTCAGAAGGGCTGCCCTTAGGAATGAGCCCAGCAGGACCCGGGGAAGCAGCAGGAATGTAGGCAGGGCCACCATGGCCTGGACTCTTCACATGAGCCTCAGTTGCCCTGAGAAAATTAATTGCTGGAAAGCTGAACCAGAAGAGAAGAGACGTCACTGGATCTGCAGGCCACCTCCCAGGCAGGACCCTTCTGCAGGATCATCCACTCGAGAGTGACTCTTTGACTGCAATAAAGGTGAAATACTCAGATCAATCACTTTAAAGTGTATGCTTCAGTGCCACTTGGCAATGACAGTACCTACACTCACCTCTTCCATCTAGTTCCAAAACATTCTCAGTACCCTTAAAGCTACCCCTATCCCCAAAAGAGCCCTCAGCACCCACTAATCTACTTTCCATCTCCATGGATTTGCTGTTCTGTACATTGTAGATCTATAGAGTCATACACCAAGTGGCCTCTAGGTCTGTTTTTTTCTTATTTCCAATTTGCTTTTTAAGGAGAGACTCCTGGACCCCCGCCCTAAAGCTTTCCTCTGCAGCCTCATTTGTCAAATAAGGGGAATATTTCCTCTTACTCG